TTTTTGGGGGGGGGGGGGGGGGGAGGTTAGAATTTTCTGATTTAGGGTTTGGGGTTTTATTTGGTTTTGGGGGGTTACGGGTTAGGGTTTAGGGTTCAGGGTTTAGCGTCGGGGTCAAGCTGTGCAGGGCGTAGTGGATTTCGCATAAGGTTTCCGACAGAGCTTCGCTTCTGGATTCCTTGGTTGTCTTTGAAGTTCCTGCAAGAGTCTTAGTTTCCCCAAACCCAGCCTTTAAAATTTTTGGGTTCTTCTCATTTAGTAGTAATCTGAAAGTTTAAACTTGTTATTTCCCTGGCTTAATGGGGGAAGTAAGGGTTAACTTTTTAGGGTTTAGGATTTGGGTTGTTCCCCCAAAGGGTTCACAAGGCTTTCTTTCAGAATGCCGTTGAGGGCTCTCAAAAGAGTTGCCATACTCGGGTTCCCTTTAAGCGATCGGTAGCCCTAGGCTTCCATGGACCTTATAGTTAGGGCCCTAGACCCCTTAAGGACCCAATAATGAGGTCCTTGGAAGCTTAGGGTAAGGGTTATCATGATAGTTGCCTTTCACGGAACCTTGAGCATCGAGGCACTTTCGAGAGTGCGGACAAGAAGCGCCTGGCGCAGCTGCAGCGTGCGAAGGCGCACAAGGCGGGAGCAGCACATCTCGGGCTGTGGGCTTGTTTTAGGAGATTTCACACATTCTTAGACGCTTGATATGAAAAGCTTTCGGCTTGTGTTGTTAGTCGGTTTAAACGCTTCGAAATGCTGAGTGTTTACGGGTTCAGGGGTAGTTTTGAGAGCTAAGCTGGACCCTCAAATTGGCTAGGGGTCCGGAATGCCCTCCAAAGAGGGACGTATTCATCAGCGGTCAACATGATGGCTTCGGTCTTGCTTGAGTCATATTCAGGTATGGCAGAGCTGCATCTCGTGGCAGCCGCAAGAACATCCTGTCATCAAGCTCTTATTTTTTACTTGGGTTATACCCCCAGACCCCGGGAAGAATCTAGAAAGTAGAACCACTAATTTGGAACGCTATACTACTAAAGGACCTTTGTAGGAACCCCCCATTAAGGCATCTACTTTTTGGATCCTCCCGGTGGTCTGGGCCGCTATACCCTACCAATATCGGGTCATAACCTACTACGTGGAAGGCTTTGGGGCTACATCTCGTAGTTTCGAGCTGCCCCAATAACAAAAACACAGGGCTTAGGGCGCCTAGGTCAGGAGACCGGCTTAACCCAATGCCCCCCAAACCCTAAACTGGCCTAAAACAATCCCTAAACCCTAAACTGGCCCTACTCAAAAAGAACCTATATTAACATGGACCTCTTTATGAAAGACCCGGACGGTTAGCCCTAACCCACCTGAAGCGCCAAGAGCTTCATGGGACTTAGTAAGTACAGTTATAGGTACCTTCACTGGGGTCCGAAGTGATTACAGGTTCAGATACCTTATTTAAAGCCCTAGTTACTAAGTCCCCAAAACCTAAAAAATGATCCCTTACAGAGCCAACAAAGGAACCCCATTCTAGAACCCTCAAAAGGAATCCTAAACCCTAGGTGCGAAGTCCCATGTAGCCCCTAAGCAGGAAAACCCATAAGCTCTTCAGTCCATGAAACTCCGCTGCATTCCATGATAGACCCTGCCTTAGCTAGAGGTTTTGGGTTTACAGGGGCTTTGGGTTTAGGGTTTGGGGTTCAGGCTTTAGGGTTGATAGGGCCTACAACCTTCTAGACCCCAGAGTTCACTCAAAGGCATAAGCCCCATGACATGCCAGTATAAACAATGCCCCCCCCCCCCAAACAGCTTCTCTGTGGCTCCACATAATTAGCTATAACCCAGCAAGTAGGGGATCATAAGTCCCTATTGTCTACAGGGTTGAGGACCTCAGGTAGACCCTAAACCCAAAGCCTCATGCGATCCTGCGACGAGACGTGCATCCTGCGGATTGTCTGCCCTGACAAGTCGGTGTTGCAGGCCGGGGTTTGGAGGCTTTCGGGGTGAATTTGGGTTGATAGCTTTGGTGGCTTTTGGATCACATATATCATATAGAACCATGTAGCAAGTGTAGAACGCCGCACAAATACAAAAGGCCACAACGACACAGCGCATGCGGGGTCTGCAGCTACCGGTGTGGATAACGTGAGTCACGTCAGTCAGGAATTCCGGTACCTGGATGGGACAAAGACGATGGGTCATCGGAAACCCTAAACCCTAAACCCCTAAACCCTAAACCCTAAACCCTAAACCCTAAACCCTAAACCCTAAACCGTGCCAGTCCCCCAAGCCCTGAACTTCCCTAAACTTCAGGTCCCTAAACTCCCCAAGCCCGGAACCCTAAACTTCAAAACCCGTAAACCCTAAACCGTAGCCCCCTCGGCTGTACTCAGACCGAAGATCCCACAAAAACGAACCCTTCTGGGGCAAAGAGACTGAAAGTCAGCCTCATGCCCCCCGGAATGCTTACGCCCAAAGGCTCCATGTACCTTTATAGTAGTTACTTAAGCCTTAAAGGGGTCCCTATATAGGTACTTTAGGGCTTAAGTATCTACTATACATGTACATGGAGCCTTTGGGACGGCAAGCAACACTTCAGGGTTCAGGGATTGGAACTTTCGCGTTTAGGGCTTAAGGTTCATAGGGCCTCCCGTCCCTAAACCCTAAACCCTAAACCCTAAACCGTTTCGGGCTGTGCACAGGGGCTTGCTCGATTCCTCGTTGCAGGAAACAGGCGTCCAGTGGCTTCCGGGTTGTAGAGACAGCGCTTTATGGTCTCGCTGGGTTTAGGGTTTAGGCTTTAGGGTTTAACCCTAAACCCAAAACCCTAAAGGGCCCTGTAGGGCATTTTGGGTTTCAGCTTCAGGGGTTCCTATGAAGATACTCGCTACCTGCCCGACTCTCCACCACCCAGGATCCATGAAGTAGCACACTCACCCAGAGACTCCAATATCCCTTAATTAAGGAATATGCCTTAAACCATATTAGGGATCCTACTATAGTTTAAGGTATATTCCTTAATTAAGGGACATTGGAGTCTCTGGGTAACTGTACCACCAGATAGGAACCCGAACAAACGTGAGAGGCCGGCCGTCATGGCGCCC